ATTATATATATATATATATATATATATATATAGGGGCCGGTTCTCGTGAGAATGAACCCTGTGGAGAGAAATGAGAATAAAATCTAGCCGTCGGATCTGATGCATCGTGCGGCTCAGATTGCATCCTGCGCTCAGATTTTGAGATAGTGCATTTTCGAAGGTTTATGGTGCATTTCGACGTGATGCATTTTCGCACCATTTTGGTGCATCTAATTTTGATGAAATCTTGACCCTTAGATCTCACAATCTAAAGCACCAGATTCATTCTCATTTCTCTCCTAAGATTGCATTCTCACCAGAACCAAAATCTAGGTGCGCTCACCCATTTATTTTAAATATTCCTTGAAACAAGAGAAATTTTATCATTAGTTTTACATTGAACCATGTGTGATTGTGCAACCCAAAAGACCCATGCGTTGATCTTTGTGTAAAGTAATTAAGTAATAATATACATTGAGCCACACACCAAAAACCATTAATGGCCTAAACAATTATGAAACTGTTAGACTTACAAAGGAACATTGAAATACGAAGCATTGAATGGACAACTCCTAACCACTACTCGAAACATTCAACTTTATCATTTACTTTTACATTGAGCAATGTAAGATTGTGCAACCCAAAAGATCCATGTGTTGATGTTTGGTAGAGTAATAATTTACATTGATCCATGAATTATCGTTTTACGAAAAAGTAGAAGCAGCTGGTTATTTACTTTGAGACACCCGACCAAACCCACATTAATGGTGTTTCATTGGAATGAAGTAGTCATTCCTCGACTTACGCTCCCTCCTTTAGATACTCGGATTCCTTTAAGTTTCAAATGAAGCAGTTCCCTATTTTGACGTCTTACGCAATGAAAGTTAACAAAAGTCAAGGCCAATCATTGAAGCATGTGGGATTATTGTTCAAGAAACCAGTTTTTAGTCATGACCAATTTAACGTTATTGTCTCTCGAGTGACCAATCGACGTGGTTGGAAGGTCTTGATTCGTAATGACGACCTAACACCCTCAAATACCACAACTAATGTAGTGTACAAGGAAGTCTTTCAAAACATCTAATTTAGTGTTTTTTATCTTTGCTATCAATTCCTCGATATTAATAGGTAATGGTTTTAATCTTTATATTGAATACAATTTTGGTTCACGGTATTTAGCAGGGGATAAAGCTACTTGTACCACAAGGGTTTGTACCCCATTTTGTACACCGCGGGTGTGCACCAACATTTTGTGTTGGTGTAATGTTAAATTTTTTTAATGAACCAATACTTTGTGTCAGTATGAACCATCAAAATATTCGTGTATATCTTTGATGTAAGTTTGGGATACAAATTTTGGTATAAATGTAGAGTGATCCTTTAGTGGGAGGACAAAAGGGGGAGGCACGCCACATACCAAATAGCCTTGCTCTCTCTTGAAATAGAAAAGTTTCATGCTTTTCCGTATGCATAGGTTTCTTGTAAGACTTTTCGTTTGTTCCTCTGATAGTCAATCTGTGGTCAACTAGCTAGGCTCATTAATCACAACGCATCATTGTTCCATTTGTTCGACCAATCGACCCATCGGAAATGTCATTGGAAAATCTGTGTTATAGAGACAATGGAGAATGGACTAACCATGAACCATTCTCATTGATGGCCAAATCCGTGTAACAACCCCCCCCCTTCACCGTTTGTTTTTCAGAACTGAAACCAATATTTCTTACC